TTCTAGAAGCCCCTAAACTGCCTGCTCCGCAAACAGGTCTGTACTCCATCTGTATACTTATTTATTGGCGTTTTTCTCGTTGCCATGTTCCCACCAATAACGTAGCTCCATTTTCTGCCTTTAAAAGTACACACAACCCACAATTCCTCTATTCGCTCCGACGAAGGGCTAACGCTCGTTACGTCAGCTTTTGTAATCGTTACTTTGTTGATATATCCAAATTATTATGTGCTTTGTTGGTTTCAGTAAATAGAAACAACAGCGGGACAGAAAAAGCAGGGAAAAAGAACATGCCTCGCATGTTGAATTTCTTGGTCAAAAGAGCAGCTTTACTGCAATCTAGATAACCTTTTTTTTTTTGTTCTATGCGTTTCCTGATCCATCATGAGCTTTGAATTTGAATGACTGTTGTCCATTTTGATTGATTGCTTTACTATTGTGACTGCTTACATATCATCTTCATCAATCACGCGAGGGGCAGGGAATGTCGAAAATAATCGATCCCTTCTGTCCAATGGACTAATGGTAGTGATTTTTTTAAATTTTCTCAGAGTTCAGCTTGCATAAACTCAAATTTTGCGCTTGATGATAAAGGAAAAGCATTAATGCTATGTTACACTGAAAATATACATCCGGCAAACATGCCAGATAATTTTAAATTGGTGATACCATGGTAAGAGAACTTAAGAAATTCTTTCTCTAGTGATGTTTTGATCTAAGAAAATGGAAAATGCTAGTAGTTTAGTCAAAAATAGTTTTCCTTTTTTGAGAGGACCCAAATATTTACGTTGAAAATAATCTAGAAGGATAAAACAGAACATAAAAACAAAAATAAAACGAGATCTAAAGTTGCTTTCAATTAAGACGACTGTCATTATGCTTTCCTTGTTTTATTCAAATTAAAGACACTTTTCCGAGATCGCAAAGTTGAGTCTCTACGCATCTCTGTTTCTATCACTCTTAAGTTAATTTTTAGTATACTTTTCAGTTCGAATACAAACATTTTATGTTATCACTATTCCATTTCGATCGTAACAGGACTACTGGGAAGGTGGTACTTCTTCAATCATGATGCGGGACACCGAATTCTATCCTGTGTAAGTGTTACCCAGTGGCCATGTGGTGCACTGACCTATCCAGAGTTCAACTCGAATTGAGCCTCATGGGAGATTCTCACAAAAACCTTCAAAGAAATGAGAACGGAGGACGTTAGGCGTTGACCCATAATTAGTGTAAAGGACTGAATCAACTGGCAAAGGTCCACTGCATTCAATGCCATTGAACTTGAAATACCATCTGTTGCATTTCCTTTCGGAATAACGGAGACGAATATTTCCTTGGTATGATACTTTAAGGGCCGTATTTTGGTGCAGTTTGTTAAAAGAGCATTCCTGGAAACAAAATTATGAAACACATTAAGAGAAAATAAGCCAACTAAAATATCATGGGCACTGCAAAAAATGCGGACGTGAAATAATCCATGAAGCCTGTTGTTATTAAAGACCAATGCTAGGCTTTTTGTTTTTATAAGAACCAATTTTTCTAAGAACATTCAGGCTGAGATTAAAACAATTTTATGAATGTACCGAGACCAGAATCAGGCTGAGAGTCAGTAAGGAACGGCTCTTTTTTTAAAATCGGTGAGAAGTAAAATTAAAGGTGAAGGAAATATAAAACTGAGGTCTTACAGGACAATTAACTCAAAACTTGAGGACATTTTTTTTAACTTTAGCAATACAGTTATTGCACAGTACACCCCGAAGAACAACTCAGTTTGAATTCTGAATTGATTAGTTACCACACAAGTATAAGAACATGCAAAAAATGTTTTTAAGCTCAAATCGCGAAAAATAAGAACGTCCAGCCTCAGCACCAAAATTGGAAGTTCTTTAAAAAAAGTGTATTAGATTTTAATTGAATTTCTTACGATAACCAGCTCCTATAACATCGATTTGTTGTTGTTAACGACTTTACCGGGTGTGACTAGACCCGGAAGGGTAAGTGCGAACGGAACACAAGGTCCATGCGAGGCACCACCCCTCCCCCCAATTCGCCCTGGATAGACACTGCACAAAGATAGACCACAACACCGGGCACTACGTGCCCTACTCGACCTTCCGCTCAACAGTCCGGCGCTGTACCAATTGAGCTAACCGGGAGGCGGTTGAAATGCTAGGCTTTTGACCAATAAAAAACTATTCCAATACAATATAAACGTAACAAAACTTCTGTGCTCATTGGTTCATTATGTAAAGGTCATAACCAAAAATATGTAACTTTAAACGAGTTTGACATTACAGATGGTGGAAGAGGAAAAGCGTGTGTTCTGAAGAAAATGATGCTACAAGCTAAATGTCATTTCTAGTTTGACCATTGTGCTTCTTTTAGTACCTAAAAACTCCTGGTGTAGTTTGCTAACTTAGTTAAAATCACAATGTCTTCTAGGGGGGCAACTAACTGATAAGCTTAACAGTAGGCTTTAATTTCAACTAACTCATGCACTGAAGTTTTCTAATCGTTAAATCGCATCCAAGAAACTCCAATATTTGTGAGCTCCTGGTGAAAGGGTTACACACCTTTAATTTCCCGCTGTCTGTATCCGTTTCTGACTTCCATGCGCACTGTTTCCAGTTGGCCAGCTGTCTTGGGTCAGTATTTGCTGCATTTCCTTTCTGTCCCTTTATTCTGATCCCTCTTTCCCCCTTGAATCCTTTAAAGCCTCTTGGTCCAATGTTCCCTGGGATACCTGCGCCTTTTTCTCCTTTCTCTCCCATTTGACCTTTCGGACCACCGGGCCTCCTCCTCCTTTGGATCCTCTGGAGCCTCTCGGGCCTTTATTCCCTGGGATTCCCTTACCATGGACTCCTTTTTCTCCCATCTGCCCTTTGGGATCCTTGGGGCCTCTTGGACCTAGATTCCCTGGGATCCATGAAACTCCTTGGACACCTCGCTTTCCAGGGCTGCCTTTCTCTCCTTTAGTACCATCCCTACCAGGAAAACCTGGGTTTCCCGGCACCCCTGGAACGCCATTTGATCCATGAATACCAACTATCTAGCAAGGGTGATATGACTGTTGAAATAAAAAATACACTGAAGGACATTTTCATTGTTCTTGCTAGGGAGAAGAAATAAGGAGAGAAAAAATGCTGTTGATAAACTAAATTCATGTTACAAGCGCATTTTCTTCAAATGATCCAGGACCGATACCTAAATGTCTGTACTCAAAACGATTCAGTCCAATGTAAACGGAGCCTTCGTACCCTCATGTATCGTGTCACGTGTGTGAGAAAGCAGATGCTGGCGAGATATCGACATAGACAAACTTCAACTGACTGGGCGTTTTAAGTTGGTTTAACCCTTTATTTTCTTAGATTATATACAGATCAGATCAAGAAAATTTAAGACTAGGTGTATCGAATATAGCTGCAAGGCCAGGGCCTGAAAGTTAATCATGAGTATGTCATGTCACCAATTTATCAGTTTCACAATATGCAACTTGTTATGAAAACAGGTGTTACTTGAGAATTCCTTTGAATACCAGCAAACAGTTTTCTTTCAGTTGGACTCATCCTGGACTTATTCCCTTCCGTGCATGCTGTGGTTTAAGCAGAGAATCAGTAGAGGAGTAGAGAGTAAGCTTTAAGCTAAACCACATGTACAAGTCATATATTTTCTTTTCAGTTTCTGTATAAAGAATAGAGCGAATGCATCGAAGCACAGGATCCGAATTCATCTTTTTATCTTATTTGTTCAAAAGTGCATATTTAGTTCTGAGACGATGTTCATTTTTTTCCTGCACAATTTACAAATTTACCTTTACCCGTTGAATATTATTCCTTTTGCGAATTCTTTACTTTGTCCGATTTGTAAATTGTTTTAAAGTTTGCGTTTCAATGGCTTTAATTTTCTAGTTCTTTCAGGGACGTGCATAAATTAGTCCAAGCCTAGGATTGATTGCCTTTTGATCCTGTTCCTCAATTATTGAAACTAACCATCGACACGGCTTTTTCAGCTGTGTGACGTTTCATGTCGAACGCACTGATCAGGAAGTAAAGGCATTGAGCTTGAGCTTTCTAAGAAATGTTCCCCAAACGGGGAAGTAAGTTAGTGTTGCAAGACTGCGGCGATCGTTCAAACAATGCTTCCAAGGTTTCTTTACATCGTAGTCCCGTGAGCAATTATGAGCGAGAAAATTGGGTTCGATTTGTGTACACCCAAAACGAAAATTTCCATCCAAAAGGAGTTTTGTGATTTCCCACGAACACTTTTGGAGGACCACTCTAAGGCACCTAAGATTTAGGCAAGGACTTTTCCATGGATTCAGCTCCTACCGCGCTAAGCACAATCTCGTTGATAAGACAGTCCAAGTGTTTTGTTCATCTGTTTACTTTTTATTTATAGTTAGAAAATCCGTACGAGAAACAAGAGCGATTTCTGAACTTTACCAGCTTTCAGAACTCTTAATGGCTAACCACGAGAACAAATAACGAAAATTATATTTCTATTAACCGGATTTGAAGTAACTTTCTCATTATTCAACCAGATTTAAGTGTACCTCACCCTACCCCACCCTCCTTCTTCCCCGAACGCAAATAAATATAGAAACGGTACATACGATTCATGCATATCACATCCCTTAGCAAGTCAATAGCGTAAATAGAGAATATCCAATAAAGTATTCAAACGAGTCTTTCTTTCTGATACTTTATTAATAGTATGAGACATTGATTTCCAAAAATCAAAGTCCATCCCCTACATATCTTACCATTGCGACTCTAAGTAATTTAGCTTTTCCCTTGGCATTATGTTTAGAAAGTCTAGTTTTTAACTTGGGTTTGATTTTGATTGACTCTGAAATTTAGGTACCAACGTTCACCTCATAAACTCATGGACTATTCAGCTCTGATGACAGGACTACTGGGATGGTGGTACTTCTTCAATCATGATCCGAGACACTGAATTCTATTAATTAAAAACTATTAATTAATTGATTATTAATTAATTAACTATTAATTAAAAAGTAATTAAGTTTAATTTTACTTTAGATTTAAGTTCGAGTACAAACATTTTTATATTCAGTTCTGATGATAACAGAACTACTGGGATGGTGGTACTTCTTCAATCATGATCCGAGACACTGAATTCCATCCTGTCCAAGCGTTACCCAGTGTGAAGTGAGCGCACTGGCCTATCCAGAGTTCAACGCGAACCGTTCCTCGTGGGAGATTCTCACAAAAACCTTCAAAGAAATGAGGACGATGGACGTTGGGCCTTGAGCTATGAAAATTAGTGTAAAGGAGTGAGTCAACTGGCAAAGGTCCACTGCATTCATTGCCGTTGAACTTGAAATACCATCTGTTGCATTTGGCATTGAAATCGTATATACGAATGTTTCCTTGGTATGAGACTTTAAGGGCCGTATTTTGGTGCAGTTTGTTAAAAGAGTATTCCTGAAAACAAAATTATAAAACACATTGAGAGAAAATAACCCAGCCAAAAGTGTGGACGCGAAATAATCCTTGAAGCCTGTTGCCTTCGAAGACAAATGTTGGGCTTTTAATAAGGAAATAGTTTGTGAGAACGTTCAGGCTGAGATAAACCCAAATTTTAAGATTATACTAACAAGATACAGGCTGAGAGTCAGTTAAGAATGGCTCTTGCTTTTCTCATCTTCAGTTGGTGAGATATAAAAGTTTAAATAACTGCGATCCATTAGGACAATTAAATCAAATACTTGGGCACGTTTTTGAACTTGAACAAAGTATTTATTGTACGATACACTAAAGAACAACTCAGTTTGTAGTCGGGCTTAGTCTGGTCACCTCCGAATTGATTTATTACCACACGACGTTGAGAACAAGTTAGGAATTTTTTCAGACTCAAATCGCGCAAAACATAAGAACGCCTAGGGTTAGCACCAAAATTAGACGTTCTTAAGTAAAAGAGTGCATTCGATTTTAATATAAATGAATAAAGGCTGATAGTTTCTAACGAAACTGTTTGGGGCTGCGTCGGTGGGGGTAACGAAATAGTATGAATATATCAACAAAGTTGAAATGGTAAACTGGCCACCGTTACGATTTTAAAAGCTGAAGTTTCGAGCGTTAGCCCTTCGTCGGAGCGAAAGCGATTTTAATATAATTTCTCACCGTATAACCAGCACGGTTGAAATACGAAATTTCAGATTAAAACATATCTGGTTGGTGGTGTGGTTGCTTTCACTGATAATTCTTTTTGAAATTGCTTAACCTCCGGTAAAGTTATGTAAAGAAGTGGATAGATGATCAATGGTTTGTAGACGAACACTACATCCTATTTGATTTCGAGCTACAGAAATGAAAATATGTAACTTTGAACCAAGTTTGACATTTGATTAAGGTAAAGTTAAAATCTCATCTAGGAGGCAGCTAACTAATATGCTACTCAGCAGGCTTCAGTTTCAACTCACTCATGTACTGAACTTTTCAAATCACTGACTCGTATCCGAGGAGCTCCAATATTTGTGAGCTCAAGGTGAAAGGTTACACACCTTTATTATCCCACTGGCTGTATCCGTGTCTGACGTCCATGCGCACTGTTTCCAGTTGGCCGGCTGTCTGGGGTCAGTGTTTGTTGCATCTCCTTTCTCTCCCTTTATTCCACTGATCCCTCTTTCTCCTTTGAGTCCTTTGGGACCCCTGGGGCCAGTCATCCCAGGGATACCCGTACCATTCACGCCTTTGCTTCCTATTTCTCCTTTAGAGCCTTTGTAGCCTCGTGGACCAATTTTTCCGGGGATTCCTTCATTGCCCCTTTCCCCGGTGTTACCGATTTCTCCTTTTTCTCCAGTCAGCCCATTGTGCCCCCGGGGGCCTCTTGAGCCAGGTTTACCGGAGATTCCTGCATCTCCTTTCCGACCTTTTTCCCCCGTGTCGGCACTTCTTCCCGGCGGACCTGAAGGACCTGGTGAGCCCGGCACTCCTGGGGTTCCCGGTATTCCGTTGGATCCAGGCATTCCCGGCATTCCCGGCAGTCCTGGCATTCCACACGACGAGCACGACTGTGATCAGAGAAGACAGGAAAATAATTTTTTTAAGCTACAGATTGAATTCGTTTTTCCTGTAAGCTTTCTGTTTTTTCATTGATGAACAGACTATGATCGGCGTGGCATTTTGAGTTTCGATATTATTTACTTGGCGTGTGAGTAACATTGTGATCAAAGAGCTATCACGTTAGATCATAGCAACATTTTATCATAGTAACGTTTAAATTATCACGTCGGATCATAGTCCAGTGTAGGTTATTGTCCTAAAAGGAAACCGAAATGCGGCTTTCATTCAGCGCAAGGACGAAACAAAAACTGAAAAATACTGGAGGTCTGCTCTGGACATCAGTGGAAACTACCCTTGCCGCATTTTTTTTTTTGCAATCGTTCACTTTAACGTGTGATATTTTTTTCTTCCTTCCCGTATCTCAGTGTTCTAAATTGCGTGATTGGTTGAAAAATTTCTTTGAGCTATCCTCTGATACACTTCACTCGTGCTATTTAGTATAGGTAATCACATGATTACTGCATTCATCTTAACCAATCCGAACTGAGAAATTTTTTCGTGTACATTATGAACTGTGAAATACAGTACTGGTCTTAGCTAAGTAGAATTGTCAAAATAATGCAAAAATGACTCGGTTGACCAAGTTAAAAGTCAGTGCTTACCTTGCATTGTGACGATGAAACATTCCTCTGTAGTTCTTTGGCATTTGTTAATGAATACATAAAGGAGCTGACGGCGATAAGAGCCAACAAGGAGAAACCCTGCATGGCTGCGTTATATTGAATGCTGTTGATTATAAACTTGTTAGATCCTCAATGCTCCAGCAAACAAAATCTTTGAACGTAGACATCTTATTGCTTTGCATATAACACAGATTGGGTTCAGCTCGTCTCTGCAAAACAGGAACATCATTTCATTTGAAAACGATAATGATTGGTTACTGGTCACGTGTACGTGGTTGACATATCACGTGCATCAGCGCAATGGAAACAGGCGAACTAACTTATGACTCACGTTCTCATTTTCCTTGAGTTGTTTTTTCCGCATTCTCCTTTAAAGGAAGATGATAATTTTATGTTTTTGCTGAATCAATTGACCTTTGGCTGAAGTTTCTCATTGTTTACACAAAGAGCATGTACTCTTTAAGGGAGAGAAATTTATTCTTCAAGAAAGGGAAAAGCTGTAATTTTTCATAGGTTTTGAACGTGAAATGCTCATATACTGATAATTTTAGAATCGAAATAGAAGAATTTCGGATTCGTCTACTTCCGGCTCATTATAATAATTATTAATAAATTATTAATAATAATATCATTATATATTTTAATAAGAGTGAACATGATTCTCATCTGAGACATAACAATTGGATATTCGCTTGAACTCCTCCTTAATATCACTTGCTTCAGCGCGCCAGGTACATGTGCAACAGATGCTCTTACAGTGCTTCAAAATTGTCTTCCGTTTCCTGTTTGAAGAACGTGGCTGGTCTGTTTTCCTGAAATATTTTCTAGCCGCTAATAACCCTCCGTCATTGTTGTAACGGAAGATAAGCCGATTCTTGTTTTGGGAAACTGGTGCTAAATCGCATAATATCCTTCAATTGACATTCTTCTTTCCTGTCATCATCTTTATGCTCTAGCACATGTTTATAATGAAAGGCTCAATCCTTCATTAGTCAGTCTCTGGAGTATGACGTGACATCGTGGTCTAAGGTCACGTGCGGAGATAGTATTTTTTTTTCCTCATTATTAATTTCGTTCTAGTTTCACGGGCTATCTCTTCAATACTTTGTTTTTTCCCCTCGATGTTAAACTATCATTTACGTATGTAGCATTACGTACCCGGGTGGTGTAAGGAGCAATGGCAAGAGAGTGGGGGGAAGGGTAGAGGAAAAGCAGAGGAGTGTTTAACGGCTGGCGGAGGCTGGAATACTCGGCTGACATAAAGATGTCAGATTTACCCGTGTTTTCGGCTTTGTTTGCGACGTGATGATGGCAGATGCTAACAAAATACCTCAAAGATCACGCTATCAAAAGAGCACAATGTAAAAATCTTTAACTGAAAGGCTTTGTTTGATCTGTAAGCCAGAAAGCAAAAAGACAAAAAGCAAAAAAATACAAACAAACAAAAATAACTTAATGAAAAGATTCAGACGAATCTCCCGGCTTTTATGTCACTTTGAACACTGAAGTTGCCAGTTTAGAATTTGGTGGCAAACTATCAGTCAATCAGATACTACAAGTGACTTATAACTGTGCAACTTTCTTTTGCAATCTCACTCGGGAGATCATCTACTGACGAGACAGCCGCAATTAATGGCGAGCGAAAATCAAAATTTCCCATTTATAGTAATAAGACAATATTAATAACATCAATGGAAACCTTTAGGGTTGAAGGGGGAGCTGAGATATCTAATTTGAACTTCAGACCGAATGATTGGTGAATAACGAAAAAATCCAGTTCATGGTTAGTGGTTCAAAGTGACTGGATAGAAAAGCCAGAGAAAAATCAAAGTAAAATCAATGGTGTTTTAGTTTGGTTTTGGAGCTCACAAGAAGAGCACAACTGTCGTTCTAGTGATGACGCATGTTGGCTGAGTTTAGGAAAGTAAATAACTGAAAGTGTAACACAAAGTGATCGGAATTTTATTGAGCTCCGTGCACGGATTAATCCCTGCTTTCCCGCCTTCCTCGCCCCTGCTTCCCCTACCTCCCTCCCCCCAGGCCCCCACCCTCAAACGAAATAAAAACTAATAACAATGACGTATAACAAAGAACTCTAGTACTGAGTGTTCAAACTATTCGCCTCTAAAAATTATAGTTAAGTCGCTGGGATCAGTTTTTTGCATGCAGGCCATTTTAAAATCTGAGTCACTGGAACTCCTGACAAATATCAAACTAGGACTTCTTAATGTAGTCTTTGCAAAATTCAACATTCTCGAAAAATCCAACAATTCAGTTGGAGTACGAGTGGCTACTCAAAGATTCCTAGTTTCTAGATATGGTAACGGCTGACCAAGGGAGTAGAGGAAAACCGCCACCTCCAAACTTTCAACCGAATTTGAAGTAACTTTGTCATTTTTCCTATTTCAAATATAAACAGATATGAGTGCGCCCGTTTCCCCCTGGGTGCACATGGAATATGTTTGTCACCCTGAAGAAGAAAAAATGCCTCAAAAGGCTATTCTTTGAAAGGACCCAAACTTTATGCGCCAAAATAAATATTAAGAAAACAAAAGAGATTCTTACAGAAATCTTCAAAGAAATAATAATAATATATAATAATTTAAACATATTTATACAGGATTGCTGCTTCAGTTTAGGAAAGAAAACTGCTAACAATGCAGGTCCTGTTAAAAAAAAAAATAAATAAAAATCAATTTAGAGTAAAT